AACAAAAAAAAAAAAAAAAAAAAAAAAAAAAAAAGGAAAACATGATATGCGCGCAAGAACTGGCAGGGGAAGGCAGAAAATATTCTAAGAATAAACCAGTGTTAGCGTCAAGATGTGGGTGATAAAGGATTGAGTTGTAGAAGTTTTGTAATTTGGTCTATATTACAGTAAAATCGGATGTTCTTTTGATGCGAACTCTGCAATGTTGTGGTGCAATGGTCCAATTCTGTAGTCTCAATGTTTTAATGATATATGGGTTAGCTTACTAGTGACTCACTAGCGATGGGATGCCCATTAAACTTCTTCGGGTAGATCTTTTTCTCTCAGTGGTGTTGTGCCATCTGAAAAAAAAGGGCATCTCAATTGATTTCATAACCTCCTTAGTAAAATGTACAATGTTCAGAAGAAATTGTAAGTGAAATCATAACCAAGTTTATAACCGATCATTAAACAAGGTAATAAACGCAAGGTATATTTCGCGATTACCTGATAACCTACTTTCCTTTTTCTTGGCGCCTGAGAACGAAATCTTTCTATACGAAGAATAAAACAGGCCAACATGGCTGTGTTCTTCGTGTTCGAGGAGTATATCTAATCTGTTGTTAACTCAGGGACTGACATGAAAATTACTTTGACCCCTTCACTTTTTATTTCATGGTGGGCGTAGAATGTTGCTTGTTTTCCATTAATAAAAATAATAAAATAATAAAACTTTTTAACCTTTGTTGAGGGATTTAGTGTTCTGGAACGCCCCTACATGTTTGTTTTCAGTTCTTGTCCCTCCCAGATTTAATTTTTGATAAACCGATACAAATAACTTTTTTCAGGAATAGAAATTCACCAGACATTTCATGTTTCTTTTAATCATGATTTTCAAAGCAATAAAACTTTTTAACCTTTGTTGATGGATTTGGTGTCCTGGAAAGCCCACATTGCTTGTTTTCAGTCCGCACTCCTCCAATTCTGTGCGTTAATTCTTAATAATAAAAATCAGTGAATAATTGTTATAGTTCAAGAAACATCTATTCTTTGACTCCACTGGCATTTATGTTGGGGAATAGACCATTTCCGAGTTACCTTGTGCCTCTGTTTTAAACTGAATCCTCGTGAAAAATATTTCAAATGAAAATGAGTTTGATTTCCTTGAAAAAGGACCTGTAGGGAACACATTTTCATATGAATGGTTTTGCATGAAGCTTCGTTTCGACTCCGAGGCAAAAGGCAACTCGGAAATTTGACGCCATGGAACAGCCCACAAGCTCATTTGCTTTTGACTTATTCAATAATTCGATTCTATTCGGTGGTGAAGAATTTTCTTTACTAGTTCTCTTTAAGAGACAACCAATTTAACGGAGAGATAGGAACGTTATGGTGCCTTCAAGATAGCGCGAAGGAACAAGATTTGTTATTTGGACATTTTAAAAGCGAAACAGTGGTTTGTAATATTTCACCAATAAGGAAATGATGTGTATACACATTCAACGCATGCTCACAGAATCGTTGCTATTAGAAATGCGTCAGAGTTATTGTGAAAAAAGGTTCTTACAACAGGTGGAAACCACAGAATTTATCTTATTAAAGGGATGAAGAATGGTCTTTCAGACAGGAAAAAACTGTCTCGCAGCATCAGAGTCAAATTTCGCGGGTTTCGCTCTCTCGAATTGTTTTTTCAATGCAGTCTTGAAGTCTTGTTTTCTTTTGCAAGTTAAACATAGTCACGTCACGAGCTTAAAGAGAACATCTTTGCGAGAAGAGAATCTCCCCCCTTAACAGAAATTGAAGGACTGAACAGAGAAGAGCGCAAGCTGTCTAGACAGACAATTCCATATGGGTGTTCCGGATCACTAACTCCACCAAAACAAAAGAGAACGCGTTATTGGTTACAAAACAATGGAATACAAGCAGCATTTCTCACCACAGATAATAAAGGACTAAATCTTAGCAAGGGCCAAGGTTATGTAAGATGCTTGCAAGGTTTCATTGTGTGTGTACAACAGAACTGTTGTAAAAAGAGACGAGATCAGAGCCAAGAATGTTTGGAACTGCGTTCTGGCCTCTCGAGCTTCTTTGCTGCCACAATTATTAGTTTTCATCTCGGTATGATCGATCGTAGGGAAATAAGAACGACTGCAAAATTCTAATATTCAAATGAGGTACTGAATGTCTCATAACTGCAACTTCAGTAAAAACACGAACCAAAAGGCAATTTGTCAATGCAGTTGACTGTTACATATTTTGAAACCGGATCTTTGGATAATGCAATACAGGAGTTTTCACTGACTCAGCCATCATGGTATATGAGCCTTTATACCATTCTCTACAAATATAATAAGCGTGAGAGTAATTCTTTTGGGTGTTTGTGTTTTTAAATTTTATATTAATTAGTTTTGTCTATTTTGGGGGCGTTTTTAATTATAATAAAACGATTATTCCACTCGCGCTTGTTAGATATGAGATGAATAGAACCAACTGATATCCAACATGCACTCGTGGAATATTTGTTAAAAATGGTGTTTATTTTACTGACCGCTTGATATAACTGCTGGTCGTGCACTTGTTTTCGTCGCTGGTCGGTGTTTTGCTAAATATATAAATGTAAATACCGATGAATAATTGAAGGACCAGAGACAACGTGGGCCAAGCCTCGAAACTGCGAATAACCACCGCTAAAGGTAATAAAGAAATATAGTTACTGGGTTTTATAGAATGATAGGATCAATTTGTATCCCATTTTAAAGAAAATAGGCTGATTTCCAGCTTACCAGCGAGACAGATATTATAAAAACAATTAAAAATAAAGAGCAACGGGCTTGGAAAGAGGAAGCAAAAGAGTGTTCTTTGGCCGAGACTCTATTTCGACTAACCTTGTCTTTGTTGTTTATATTGGTAGTTCTTCGCTCTGATTCCCTACTAGAGGAAGCTAGGAACAGGCTAGAGATATCTTAACATTCTACTCTGTTTATATACTAGAAAAGACGACTCTCGAATAATCATAGATCACCGAATTTACTTGTAGAAAATTAAGTAACACGACCGAAAGGAGTACGAACTGACAAAGCAAACAATTATGGGCGTTCCAGAACACCAAAGCCCATCAACATAGTTTAGGTGAGAATGCTTTTTTGGTCGAAAATGATGTCAAACTGGCATCATTTCAATACCATGAGTCTATAAAGGATTTAACTTAAAAGTCAGCGTACGTCAATTGAACTAGTACCAAGTAAACCGTTAAGCCGACGTTGGTCAGATTTTCTTGTATCGACAAGAGAACTGCGCGAAATTGCGCCAAGACGAAAGAATGTACGTTACTTGATATATCTGTCATAACTTCAGTTCTTCCAGCCAAATTAAAAAGTTACTGTTATTTATGAATTTGTTAAGTCCCACATGAGCATAAAATATTTAGCTTTGAAAATAAACTTTGAAATTACAGCGCGCAGTACGTCAGAAAACGCAAAAACAAAAGCTAAACGAGGGGAGTGAATAGGGGAACATAAATCCTCCAATCCCTACAACTGTTTTGCCAAATTCGCCGACCCGCCAAAATTTTCGTTCAAACCTGGAACCACATGGCTTGAAAACTTTCTATGGCGTAGTTTCACAGCAACAGTACGCAAGATGTTTGTTTCTGCCCTTCCCCCGTGGGGTCATGTGCGTACAAGCATGTGTGGCACCAAAGGCCATGACTTTTGATCCGTATTGGTCTGACAAAGGGTCCGCAATGAAGTATGATTGGTGTCTGCTATTACAGGAGTCCACGCCCATGCCGCTGGCTATTAACATTGTTGGTATTCATCTCTGACCATCTGCTGGAAAGTGAGTTCCAATCAGGTATTCGAAGCCCTTCTCAATTGTTTACCTAAACCATAGCAGTTCCTAAGTAGGGTCTAGTCTGAAACAAGGTATCGACTTTTGGTTTAGGCTATAATAGGGAAGGAGATAATCGCATATTTTGGGGCTGTGAAATCGATCTTTAACAAAGTTCCCCAATTACCTGTTTATGCGAACGCAAGTACAGCATTATCTAAAGCACCAACAAAATCACCAATGAATGGTCTGGGGCACTATCTTGGGCTATACACACGTTGCTCTGCCATCAAAACTACGTATACTTCACGACGTTCCCAGGGGCTTTTGTCAAGCTTGCAAAAATTGTAAAGAATTCAACATACTCAATAAGGATTACACATTTCTAACAACAATGTGCACCCGTGTTTAAATAATTTCGCTTCGTCCGAAAAAAGAAATAAAGTGAATAAAACTAACGTACCGACCAATGCCCTCCAAAGAACTCAGATCCAAACTTCGTTTAAGATCCATGACAGTGCAGAATTCGGACTCCAGGCTGAAATTCATAGCTGATCTACGACCCGCGATATTTAAGAATATATATAAAAGGTCATACGCTATTGTGAGAATAAAAGGTCTAATTTAACGTAGGTCTCATCAATTGATATGATTTAGTTTGTTATTAAATCAATAGCGAGGAGCACGAGCTTTGTGGAACACCAGTTCCACCAGATTTAGTTAGAAAGAGCTGGTGGTTTGATTAAATGGTACACAGCCAACTTTTCAGATAGACAAAATAATAAAGGATTAAACCTCAACAAGCTAATATTCGTCAAATTTCTTCGGGTTAACAATAAGACTGTCCGACAATGAAGAAGATAGGGACAATTCTTTTCCTTCGTATTGAAATGGAATACACAACTGCCTAGGTTCTTGAGACCTTCGTATATAGGCACCTATATACATATGGGTTGCTGACCTGGCTGGCGTGAGGTCAAGATGGCTGGATATTAGCCAGGTTCTTTTTTTGTGTGTTTATGGACCGAGACAGAGTCGAGGTCCATAAAACAAAACACACACACACACACACACACAAAACAGAATGAAGCTAATATGCAGCCAGAATTTATTATATAGAGATAGAGCACTATTTTCCTCTGGGAGACAGTGGAACCATATAATAAAGAGGTTTCTTAATCCAAGGATTACCATATTTGCTGAGCTTGATGCCAAATGTTGATGCAAAAAGAGTAGGGCACGTAGTTCCCGGTGTTGTGGTCTGGACTTGTCTCACGGGTTGGTGCTTTACATAGGGTAAACCTCATTGCAACTGTCCCCCTTGGACAAAATTGTACTAGAAAAATAACTATGAATGAAAAGAGGTTAACGCAAAACCAAGTATCTTATTAAATGGATGATAAATCTATTGGCAGGTCCTTTTATGAGGTTTTATTTGCAGATGGCTCTAGCAAAGGAGTAATGATTTTTCTTGGGAATTGGGTGGTCATCCCATCAGTGGTAAGGCGTTTCTAAGTCGAAGAATTAAACAATTAGTAGCTTAAAAGCGGACGTTAACGTGGAGCCAGATGTAGCAAAACAGCTACCGACTACCATTATTTGAGAGGGAGGCCGTCAACCACAGGGCGATTTTGCCGTCCGTCAGGTTCTTTCCAAAAATTGGAAATTAGGCTGCCATGCATGTATTGCACTACATAGAGATGGCCTATTAAGAGATTTTCGTGCTTTTCCTTAAAGTGTCCATACGGCCAACAGGGTTTTTGTGGTTTTGGTATCTCTATAACACCTTAAAAATGTATTCAACCCAATTTAATTAATTCCGGTGCTTTTTCGCCATGAAATCAAGCTTTAAATTTCCCGTTCGACCACGCCCAATGAAGTTGACCGCGTAATTGGTGACGAATGACGTCACTTCAGGAACATCTCAAAGTTTCATGTTTTTATTTTGCTTGATTGACGACCACATTGTTTCACCAGCTTCGGTTTGTTTGCTTTTTGTCGATGAAAACTCCTAATCACTACTGAAACAACAGCGACCTGAACTAGATTTGACAATTCCTGACTTGACGTCTCGACCCATTCAGAAACCCAGACCCTTTTTTGCACAGACTCACGGTCAACTTCATTGGGCGTGGCTGAAATGCGAACTTTAAAGTTAGAACTTTGGGCATTAAAACGTCGGAATCCAGTTTTTTTTTCTTAGAATACCTTTTTACACATTATAGAGATACCAAAACCACACAAAAAAATCCTGTTGGCCGTATAGACACTTTAAAATTGCAGTGTCTCCTGAATTGTATGAAAAGCAAAATAAGGCAATTCAGCTTAAACATGACTACATTTTTAACGGTTTGCTTACAGAAGGTATCCATCTACATTGTTTTAAAACTGTCCGCTCTCGGGAGTTGTCGGTAAGCGGAGGTTAGACAGGATCAAAACCTTAGAGGGATGAATGTGATCTGTGAGACAGTATTGATTACATTTTTTCAATATGTGGTTTCTATATTGTTATTCATTTCTTTGCTCCATTTAATTGGCTTTTCAGAATGCAAAACAGATTTGGAAAGAAAACGTTATTGTTTCAATGGTGGTGCTTGATGAATTTTCAGTGACAATCGGAGTGGTCCCTTAATTGAACGATCCACACTGCATCTGCGGGAGTGCTTACCCTGGAAATGGATGTAACTTGAGAATAATCAGTCTAGTAAATGCGTATATAAGTTTACTAGTAAAATTAAACAAAGTATTGAAATGAGGTTCAATAAAAGCACACTATAGTCCTTAGATTGTTGACTTAATATTATTTGCTTCGATCCAAACAAAAAATTGAGTAAAAATGGGTAAATTGAAAAAGTGATAAACAGCTAATCATGCACTATCGCAACCCGCTAAGCAAGGAAAACGTTCTTTGTACACAACTAGGAAATAGTGAGTAAAATGAAGTTTGGCAAACGCAGTTTATAATTATCCTAAAATTGGAAAAATTTCAGTTAAAATGTATTGCAACATGGCCAGTACAGTAGCCTCTAGAGCAGCCGCTATTTGGGTCGTCACGCAACGCTTCTTCCCCATTGAGAAGCGTTGCGTCACTTCCCTAATAACGGCTGCGAAATAGACTGCCAGTAGACTGGCACGATCTAAGGCCCTGACTACACTACGCCGAAGAAATTTGAAATCGGCGTTTTCACTCTGAATACGAGACAAATGTTTTCCGCCCGCGCTACGCTGGAGAAATTTGAAAACGCAACAATCACCAGTCATTTTGGATTTGTCTTTGAGGAAAACTTGGGCAGCGAAATCCGTCATGGTGACGTCATACTTATGGCAAAGGTCCGTTTTTGGACGGTAGGTCAAACAGTAGAAATAAAGCTGTGTTTTCAACCTCTCAATGTGTATAATGATCTTGGTTTAGAGATTAAATGGCTTAAAATAATTTTTTTTTTTTGCTATTTTCTTGACTTTCAACTGATGTTTGTTGCAAAGTCAAATGCAGTTTGAGGTTTGGGACTTAAAACAGTGGGTAAACCAATAGCCAAGCCAAAATAAGGGCAAGGAGAGTCATGTTGTCGCTTAGAATAAACAAATCGTCCGTTCCTTTTGTCACTGAGGGGTAACAATGGCAGTCAGCTATGTTCAGATTTTCAATACAGTCAATGTAAAAATTTTAATCTACTGGACTCTGTGGCTCGAAGCGCCTAGGCACTGCAATACATGTTTATTCCTTCTCTATCAATAATTTTGATTTTCCGAAATTGTAGAACATATTGGACTTCGTTGAATGCTCATTCATCTGTTTATTTTAAGCTAAAATCTTTTACAGCTTTTGAACTTTACTCTCATTCTAAATAGTCGGAAGAGACTGCTTCATCCTTGGATTATTCCATCGATCCAGGATCTCAGCTCGCGTACCTTAGCGTACACTCCGTACGCGTTAGCACCAGCGCATCCGCTGCCCCAGCTTGTCGCTCCTTCAATGTAATACTTCCCATTGTATTGACATGCCAACGGACCACCGCTGTCGCCCTGGCAACTGTCTTTTCCGCCTTGATCGAACCCAGCGCACAGCATAGAGTCGTGCAGACTACCATAGGCACCCTCACACCTGTTCTTGGAAACCAGGGGGACCAAGACCTCTTGCAAAGTATCGGGCTGCTGGCCTCCGCTTTCAAGAGTACCCCAACCGCTTATCAGACACTGGTTGTTGAGATCGTCAATTGGGAGGTGTAATGCGCTGTCTCCGAGGCAGATAAGGCCGACTCCCTTTCCCAGGACAGCCTCTTGCTTAAGCTTGACCATGGCAATGTCGTTTGCATTAGTGCCGGAGTTATATCCTGGATGGATCACGACTTGGGCAACAGCTCTTTCTTGGGTTGTATCCTCTTGGGTCTCTTTGCGATGAGCACCTAGCCTAGAAAACAGTTCAATTTCAATGCCCATTTGGTGATTAAATAAACCAACAGATTATCAAGGTAAGAGAGTGAATCACCCATATAGGCTTCCTACCCAAGGTAATCTCTCTTAAGTTATTTTTAGACATGGTACCCAGTTCTTCCGCAGCCGGTTACTCGCGCGATGCTTGGATAGCCGAAGCGACCATCTCGAAAATGGCGGGAACGTCATTTTACATGTTTTGATTTCGTTTCATAGCAGAGATGTTTTCTGCACTCTCAGCCGTCGTTTGGTTAGGCTCGTTTGGCTGTTCATTATTTCGCCGTTGATTCGGTTTTAGGGAGTTTAATTAAGCAAGCTTTATCGGGAACGGCAACTAGTACAATGGCTGTGTAAGCGCGCGTTATAATTCTTTGTTCATTTCTTTGCCGTTGTTTAGGTCACAAAACAACAGCGTGAAATAGCCACATTCTGCATACTCAAGAGAACCTGAACTATACTAGGGCCAATTTTTAAAATTTCTTTTTCGAATTTTGACGCTGTCTTGAATTTTCTGTTTGGGATATTTCTGACAGTAGGACAAACTGAATGAATCTAAATTCTCGCGAGATTCATAGGTTGAATATAAAGTCGTTTTTTAATCAACGTTGTCTTTGGCGTTGTTGTCATTGCTGCTTAAACTGCTTTTTGCTACTTGGGCAGCGAGCGTCTGCCTGCACTTTCGATCATTTGTTTGTTCCGTTGCCTAGCTTGTGTTTGGGCGTTTGTTTGCTTTGCACTCGTTTGTCTACTAATTTCTCTGCCGTTCATTTAGTTGTTATTTTGTTTGTGCAGGGGACATCCGTCTCTTATTTAAACTCCTATTGAAATTTCGAAATGTTTTAAAACATACCGAGAGCCGAAGCTCCTTTGCTTGTAATTAAAATATCAAAGAAGACATCCCCACAGCGTTGGAGGTTTTCCTTTGCTTTGAAACGAAACGAAACGACATAAACAGATCCTCCACGAAAACATCTACGCAACGCGCGAGTAATATCCGCGGAAGAACTGGCTACAATAGAGGGATTACCTTGGACATAAGGCCTATATGGAGGATTCACTCTCTTACCTTGATAATCTCTTGAATAAACTCAGTACTGAGCGGTGAAAATTGTCATGCATAATAATAAAATAAAGTACAGGAAAAGTAGCCTAAGGGCACAACCTGAAAAAAGCTTCTCAACTTTGCTGAATATAACAATAAAACAACATAGCTGAATAAAACAAGCAAAAACAAAATAACTAAGTACGAAAAGTAAACTGTACCAAATTTTAAAGCTGTTTGGCGATGAACCTTGAACACAGTGAGCAGCCGTTAGGACCCATTGCTTATGAACAAGCGAGCCACCACAGAACTGAGCCCTGTCGGTTCGTAACATAGCCTGCCATGGAATGCTGTTCTTCACTGTTTCCTGTCCACCAACGATTCGGGCACCGGAGGACGGACGGTCGCCACAAGAGAGTGGAGGGAGTGGATGGCCAGTCGGAGGCGGTGGGCCGGCTTGAATTGGCAGAAGAACAGTATTAGATAAGCTGCAGTAAACTTTGATACATCTACAAAGTTTGACCTATTGTTCACTGCTCCAAATGATGACATTTTTTATTTTTGCACTCGGTTAAACAGAGAGCTGTTTTCTCCTCCGTTTCCCTCACTCGTCTCCTTTCTTTAGTGACTAGTTATTTGAAATAGGGAAGAACGTCCCGCTTTGCTTTTACAATGATGTAAATGACTAATAACAAACGTAAAATTGTTTCGGAGAGGCTTTTTATCGAGTTTCAGTTTAAATCATCATAAATCGCAAAATCTGGGAGGAATTCAAAACTCCAGAATTCGTCAATGAAGAATTAGTGTCAGTGACAATCATAGACGAAAAGGTACGTAACTACAACAGGGAATTACGACATCTGAACAGAGCGAAAATGTAGTGTGCTAAGTCGGTTTGTTCCATCATGATTAGGTTACCATTAGTTAGAGAACATTTTGACGCATTTGTTGGTGAATATTTGCTGTTCGTATTTTTTGCTTTCAGTTTTGCCTATGTAGTATCTCATTAGCAGTGAAGAACACTTTTATATTTTAAACCTCACCAGTAATTTTTAATTGCAGATTAGCCCTAATAGGCTTTTCAATTGAAACCACGCCCTGGAACAGAAATGTGAGACACCACGCCTAATCTAACCCTCTAGAAAATCAAGTAATTTTTTATGTTCGTTTTACCGTATTTAACTTACGAGGGCAGTCGCCCGATCCTCCGGGACAGTCATCAAGAAAGTCCGGAACGGGATTACCTTAAACGAGAATAAAAGGTAAAATTGATTTATTAATGCCTACTACGAGTTAATTGCCGACAACAATGACGATGCAACAAAGAATTAACGAGAAAACAAGAAAACTGCAATTTACCTATAATTGAACTGCACACAAAGATCGACGGTGCAAGTAGGGAAAAAAACAACAACAAAAAAAAAACATGCGAGGTTTCTAACTAGGAAAATATTTTCGATATCTCAAACAATGTTAGGGTACACGAGTTTGAAATGAGGAGCCAGTTTTTTTCAGTACGGCTTTTCAATGAATCACCAATTTTAGGAAGTATCACATCGGTAACTCTGCATCGATTATTTTTGCAACTAACGTAATACAAATTATTCTACGAAAATAGCAAGCTAAAACGCCATTTTCACTACCTTGAATCCCGGTAAACAATGTAACCAAGGTAAAAAGTACCAGAGTCATAATTATGAATGAGGCTCCTTTGAAGTTCTAAGTTGTCGTGATCGACTAACTTCAATGGTAAGGCCTCAATTATCTGCTTACTTTTATAGCGCACACGCGTTAATTTCCCCGATACCTCCATGACAGCACCTTATTCTTACAGCTGTCCCTTTTTCTAAACCACCTTTCAGCATTTGTTGAACTTGTTCGTGACTTTCTTTGAAAGGGACTGAAAGGTGTTTGTTAAATAAAATTCCACTAACTGTTGTACAACTTTCTGTGCAATTTTAAGCGCTAGATCTATAGGCTTTTTAAACACAGTGCATAAACAAAGGATAATGAGTTGTAAGCGATTAAAAGACTCGGCGTTATGTTTGATCTT